TAGCCCTAACCCAGCGCTTTAAAGCTTAACCTGGATACCGTAACCCTAACCATAACCTTAGCCCTAACCCAGCGCTTTAAAGCTTAACTTGGATACCGTAACCCTAACCCAATTACTCGAAACTATAGTACCCGTAAAGATTACTTTTACATCAAATTATTAGAAAGGAATCCGAAAAGCTATGGAAATCTCTGAAACTAGAGCCAAAGCAAGCAGTTTCCACTTTGCTCTAACGTTTAAAGATGGGAGTATAATCAAATAATAAATAGATTTATGCAGATGAAATACTGTAGAGATTTAGACGGGTTACGGGGCTTTAGAGCTTAGAGGAGAAGACTTTAAAGGCTTTAGAGCTTAGAGAAGAAGGCTTTAAAGGCTTTAGAGCTTAGAGGAGAAGACTTTAAAGGCTTTAGAGCTTAGAGAAGAAGGCTTTAAAGGCTTTAGAGCTTAGAGGAGAAGACTTTAAAGGCTTTGGAGCTAGAGAAGAAGGCTTAAAGGCTGGAGCTTAGAGGAGAAGACTTTAAAGGCTTTAGAGCTAGAGAAGAAGGCTTTAAAGGCTTTAGAGCTTAGAGGAGAAGACTTTAAAGGCTTGGAGCTAGAGAAGAAGGCTAAAGGCTTTAGAGCAGAGGAGAAGACTTTAAAGGCTTTAGAGCTTAGAGAAGAAGGCTTTAAAGGCTTTAGAGCTTAGAGGAGAAGACTTTAAAGGCTTTAGAGCTTAGAGAAGAAGGCTTTAAAGGCTTTAGAGCTTAGAGGAGAAGACTTTAAAGGCTTTAGAGCTTAGAGAAGAAGGCTTTAAAGGCTTTAGAGCTTAGAGGAGAAGACTTTAAAGGCTTTAGAGCTTAGAGAAGAAGGCTTTAAAGGCTTTAGAGCGTATTCTGCTTACCAATTCGCAAAGTGGTCGATGATTTCATTAAGTAATGAAGCTCTAAAGTTTCACACACAATCCTAGAAAACATTTTGCCAAACCAGTAGAAAAGTTCAAGCAAATTTCGATCGACTCACAAAAGTAGGGTTGGAAAAAAAGAACGAAAATTGCACGGTAAATATTTGCTTTGAGAGCATACAGGACTAGGGAGAAATTCAACGATTTGAATCACTTGGAACTTTAAAGTAAGAAATAAATAAACAAAAAAAGAATTAAACTAAAAACAATTAAACTAAAAACAATTAAACTAAATTAAACTAAACTAGCTGAAGAAGAAAGGATTTGAAATTTGGTAGAAGCTTTGGTAGAAGCTTGGGTAGAAGCTTGGGTAGAAGCTTTGGTAGAAGCTTTGGTAGAAGCTTTGGTAGAAGCTTTGGTAGAAGCTTGGGTAGAAGCTTGGGTAGAAGGTTTGGTAGAAGCTTGGGTAGAAGCTTTGGTAGAAGCTTTGGTAGAAGCTTGGGTAGAAGCTTGGGTAGAAGCTTTGGTAGAAGCTTTGGTAGAAGCTTTGGTAGAAGCTTTGGTAGAAGCTTGGGTAGAAGCTTGGGTAGAAGGCTTTGGTAGAAGCTTGGGTAGAAGCTTTGGTAGGAAGCTTTGGTAGAAGCTTGGGTAGAAGCTTTGGTAGAAGCTTTGGTAGAAGCTTGGGTAGAAGCTTTGGTAGAAGCTTTGGTAGAAGCTTTGGTAGAAGCTTGGGTAGAAGCTTTGGTAGAAGCTTGGGTAGAAGCTTGGGTAGAAGCTTGGGTAGAAGCTTTGGTAGAAGCTTTGGTAGAAGCTTTGGTAGAAGCTTGGGTAGAAGCTTGGGTAGAAGCTTGGGTAGAAGCTTTGGTAGAAGCTTGGGTAGAAGCTTTGGTAGAAGCTTGGGTAGAAGCTTGGGTAGAAGCTTTGGTAGAAGCTTGGGTAGAAGCTTTGGTAGAAGCTTGGGTAGAAGCTTGGGTAGAAGCTTTGGTAGAAGCTTTGAAAAGAATCTGTAGAGAAACTTTGATTTTCGTCGGAGAGGAGATCTGGAAAGTAAAGCACGATAAACAAGACGATTTTTGATCGATTATTGGAAGGGATTTCGGTCTAGAAGCTGCAAAATGATTTGAATGGATATAAAATTTAGTTTAAATGCTATGCTATGCTATGCTTTTACCAAAACTATTCTACAGGATTCGACATTCAAAGGCTCGTAAATTCTAGAGTGTGTTTCTTATGCAAAACTAGAAGCAAATCAAAATTTCTGTAGTAAAGAAGCAAAAGAATTGGGAAGAAAAAGAAAGTAAGCAAACTTTTGAACCCTAGAAAGCTAAATTCCCGTCGAAATGATAGAAGATTTCGTCTGTTTTACTGTTTTCTATTTTGCAATTAGCATTGAGAGTCAGTTGGTGGTATATTTTAGCCTATTTTATTCATAAACTTGAAAGTGATCCAGCTGGAAAGTAAGCTGTATCACCAGAAATAAAGAAATCTTTTGGCTAGCTTTAGAAATCTATAGAAAACAGCAAAAGCACACACATTTTTTTGTTATTTTAGGCAGCTGCCGTTGTATTGCTTATTGGAAAATGGTTATCGGGCATTTAATACACGCCCCACCAATTTTCCCATTAGAAATCTAACTTTGGTCATTGGCTAACTTTGAACTGAAATATCTTGGTGTTGAGCTGTTCAATTTCAATATTTTTGGTATCATTAGATGCTCTAATTCTTTCTCTGTCGATTGGTATAAAAACTATTCAATTGAACAGCTCAACACCAAGAAATTTCATCTTAAAGTGAAATTGCCAATGGCAAAAGAAACGGAGCACGTATCAAATGTCCCACAGCCACTCTCTAATAGAAAGCCACAAAATCACGTCGCAAATCCGCGGGCATCACCCCTTTTTCCATTGGCTAACTTTGAACTGAAATATCTTGGTGTTGGGCTGCTCAATTTCAATATTCTTCGTATCATTAGATGCTCCAAATCATTCTCTATCAATTGGTATAAAAACTATTTCAATTGAACAGCTCAACACCAAGAAATTTCAGCTTAAAGTGAAATTGCCAATGGCAATGGGGACGGGGCTTCCTTTTATACGCGCCCCTTTTTCCAATGGCTAACTTTGAGCTGAAATATCTCGGTGTTGAGCTGTTCAATTTATATATTTTTGGTAACATTAGATGCTCTAATTCTTTCTCTATCGATTTATATAAAAACTATTCAATTGGACAGCTCAACAGCAAGAAATTTCAGCTTAAAGTGAAATTGCCAATGGCAAAAGGGACGGGGCACGTTATCAAATGTCCCGCAATCAAAGAAAACGGAACAGGGAATAGCTGTAAGCTGTCACAAAAAGCTGTAAGCTGTAAGAATTTGAAAAGCTAACGCAAAAGCTAAACCTTATCAAATGAGAAGGCCAATTTCACGGTAAACAAGTCTAAAAAGATAAAGGATCAAGCAAAAGCCGTTCCTTTGGCAGAAAAATCAGTCACGGGTTATTATGAGAACATTATTTACAGCTTTCAACGGTCTTCGAACGAAAAACCGATTACTGTAATCGATTATTACGTGATTTGCGGGTAATGAGTATAGACGCGCGATAAGCTTTCGTCGATTGGAGTGACGTGTAGTCGATAGAGAAATGCTGGCTCTCTGAAAGGTCAAGCCACTTCAAAAGGAAGTAAATAGCAACTATGTTTTTGTAATTCTTGTTTTAAATAGTCCTATGAATTCGTAAAGCTTTTAGAATCTAAATAAAACAAAAAACCTTATATTCTTATTGTCGCTTTAATATTTGTATTGGGTTTTCCAGCTATGAATGCCCGTTTTTACTATTTTGTAAATTTCTCAAGATATCGAACAGATGTAGATGAGTGTTATATATCATTCGAAAGCTGAAGATCTCCTCTACATTTTGATATAAAAAGTTTTGGAATTTGTTCAGCTTTTGGGCAAATTGACTGCACAGAAGAAGAGGTGGCCAAAAATGGAAGGGTGTCTTTGGATCAAGTTTTGGCTCCCCTCAAATTGAGTTAACCGTTTGATGTTTGGCCAATAGATATATCAATACAACTTTTTTTAGAATATAACAATTTCAGAGCATCTTTACTTTTCTTTTTCTTTTCTGGGCGGCTATTTTACACCATAAAACTTGAGGAATAGCTAAGCTGGAATGGGTTTTTTTTTCGAAAACCACCTCTCCTTTGTGCAATCAATTTGCTCAAAAGCTGAACAAATTTCAAAGCTTTTTATATCAAAATGTAGAGAAGATCTTCAGCTTTCGAATGGTATATAACAATCATATACATCTGTTCGATATCTTGAGACATTTACAAAATAGTAAAAACGCGCATTCATAACTGGACAACCCAATAGTTGTGAGACCAAATCTATACCCCTTTTTGCCGCGGGTTCGAATCCCCACCGTGGCCATTCCCTTGTAAGTCGAACTGTAGCAACTATTGTAACTTAAAACAGAATTAATTCTCAAAACTTTTTTTTGTGTCATGGTTTGTCAATCAGTCTATCTATTGGGTTGTCCAGTTATGAATGCGCGTTTTTACTATTTTGTAAATTTCTCAAGATATCGAACAGATGTAGATGAGTGTTATATATCATTCGAAAGCTGAAGATCTCCTCTACATTTTGGAATAAAAGAGTTTTTGAATTCATTCAACTTTTTGGGAAATTCACTGCACAAAGGGAGAGGTCGTTTTCGAAAAAACCCATTCCAGCTTAGCTATTCTTCAAGTTTTATGGTGGGGAAAAGAAAAGTAAAGATGCTCTGAAATTGTTATATTCTAAAAAAGAGTTGTATTGATATATCTATTGGCCAAACATCAAACGGTTAACTCAATTTGAGCGGAGCCAAAACTTGATCCAAAGGCACCCTTCCATTTTTTGGCCACCTCTTCTTCTGTGCAGTCAATTTGCCCAAAAGCTGGACAAATTCAAAAACTTTTTATATCAAAATGTAGAGGAGATCTTCAGCTTTCGAATAATACTCATATATATCTTTTTCTTGATCTTGATCTTGATCGGTATCTTGAGAAATTTACAAAATAGTAAAAAACGCGCATTCATAACTGGACAACCCAATACAACTTTCAGAATGATATCATGATTTCTATTAGTCGAAATGGGCTTTTATTGAGCAATTTATTCCTCTTTCTGCTTTTCGTTCTCTACTTTAACCATCAAATCTCGAATCTGCAACAGGAGAGACAAATCTCCTATCAGAAAACACCGACTTATGGATCGATCATCATCTATAATCGGGTAAGAGCTACAGTAGTGGACAATGAAATATCATATTTGAAAAACGATTTAACATTTCAAGGTCGATCATTTAACACCCAAACGCACACTGTAGCATAAAGCAGCGCGGAGAATAGAACGTTCAAAGTTAGACTACGCGATTGTATGCCCCTTATGGGATGGCGTTCTATTAGAGTATTTACGGTGATTGTTCCTAACAATCGCCGTAAATCTATCTAACAATCAACTATTAGCTTCCTATCTAAATAAAAAGTGTATCAAACTGCAGGTGCCAAAGACCGGATCCACCACTTTTACGAATGCGGTCGCTTACGATTTGGGGAAACAAAATGGCTTCACCACAGTTCACCTCAACATGACAAAGAATAAACCGGTGAGTAAACAATGAAAGTATAAATAGATAGATAGATAGATACTTTATTCAGGAAATGAAATAAAGTGCGCAAGATTTAAGGTTAATGAAATCGATACATGAATTCATACACATAAACACATAAACACATATGGTAGTTGTTAGAGAGAAGATTGGTAAATTAAACCCGAACTTTGTCCAAGTAAACTGATCAAATGCATAGAGTGTGTTTCTCTCAAGTAATGGCTTTCTACAACGCGGTCTTTAAAGGTCAAATCTCCAGAAATTCCTCCAGATATTCATTGTTTTTTAACTGAATATCTGAAGGTTTTCGCTTTGAAGAAAGCGTTATCGAAAGCCATTACTTTTTTTTATCTGTCTTCGCACTTAGGTTCCTATTTGCGCAGATCTCAACCTGCTTCAACATTTCTCTATCCCTTGCTATTGTCATCCAGTGTTTCCTATCTTGGTTGTTCCTGGTTCGAAGTCTTCGACTTGCTTGTGCTGGTGGTGGTTGCACTCTAGCCATCCTTTCTCTGTCCGTGCCACTCTTGTGATCCACCTCGTTGCTGGTCTTCCGATGGGCCTCTTCTGGTCTCGTGGTAGCCACTCTGTGATCCGTATCGTCCATCTGTCGTCTGTTCTTCTGGCTACGTTGCCAGCCCATCTGAGTCTTTTTCTCTCGATCACCTCCACTGGATCTCTGAGTCCCGAGAGCTGGCGCATATCCGTACTTCTTAGATCTTGGAAAACCATTACTTGAGAGGAATATATCTATCTTTTGGCTTTGAAGGGCACGTTATAGAAAGCCAATACTTGAGAAGGAATATATCTATCCATGGAACAAAATCCAATCCAAAAATCTAGTGTCCGGAGAAAAGTGGTCATCGGTTTGAGTATGGGAAAATTTTCTCGGTTGATTTTTCAAGGCTCATCATGGTGTCAGAATTGGTTTTACCTCAGGCGTCACACAGAAAGATCAAGTTGAATGTTGAAGTTGATTTTATAGATCGTCACACAACAAGATGAGGTTGATTTTGATGGTTTTATGAGGTCATGCATCGGTTGGTGAGCTCAAAATCCACATAGAGATGAAAAGCACACTTTTAAATTCCTCTATCACCGCAAATCTTTCTACTTTTTCTTTCTATAAATTTGTCTATAGGAAACACTAGATGACAATAGCAAGGGATAGAGAAATGTAGAAGCATTTTGTGATCTGCTCAAAATAGGCACACCTAACTGCGAAGACAGATCAAAAAAAGTAATGGCTTTCTATAACGTGCCCCAAGCGCCTCAGTATTCAGTAAAACAATGATATCTGGAGGAAAGGCCGCGTTGTAGGCCTACTGCTCTATACTGACGTTTCTGGACAAAGTTAATTTTAATTTGCCAATCTTCTAATCGTTAACAATCCGCCAATCCAACCTGCCAATCAACAAAACTGTGACTTTCTAGGTTATGAGTCTGCCCGATCAAGAGTACTTTATTCGAAATGTCAGCAGTTGGACGGATATGCAACCAATGTTTTTGCATGGCCATGTTTCATTCATTGACTTTACAAAGTGAGAAAAGAAATGAAGAATTAGAAGGAATTCGAAGGAATTAAAGAATTGAATGCGAATGAAATTAGAGAAATTTAGATTCGGCTATCCCCAACCAATCTACATCAATTTGTTGAGAGAGCCGTTGGATCGCCTACTATCACATTACTATTTCTTGAGATTCGGTGACAATTTTCGAGTCGGTTTGAAGAGGAGCAGAGCCGGGAATAATGAGGTGTGTACTTTGTGTGGGCTTAAACGCAAGAAACCCACCATTTCTGGCGTGAATGGTGTGGCATTTTTGACTGTAAAGTGATAAAGAAATGTCGGAAATCGTATAGGATTTGCATTTGGATTATATTGGGTTGGTGAATTGAAAACTGCCGGACTTTGAACTAAACTTTGGACTTTGTTTTATTCAACATAAAACCATCAATTCATTTCAAATAATTTCCATTATTATTGACGACTTCTGCCCATTTTACAGGCAATTTGCGGATTCCTCTTTCGTAGTAGGATTTTGGTTTGTGTGTGAGACAAGTGTGAGACTCAAAAATGGAGGACTGGAAATGGAGACTGGAGATCCCAGTTTGAGCACTTTCTTCAAAAGAAACCCATTTTGGTGCCAATAGAAAAGTTGTAGAGAATTAAAAATTAGGCCTAAAGCCAAATTTCCAAAAAGATACACTTAACAGTTTCGCTTAAAATGCAAGTTTTGTGAAAATTCGTAAATTTGGCATTTCTTAAAACCCAGCGTTTGAATCGTTCTGAAAATTTGGATATAAGCTCGATTTTTGATTCTCTACAACATTTCCATTGACACCAAAATGGGTTTCTTTTGAAGAAAGTGCTCAAACTGTCACATATGACCATAGCCCACAGTTTTCAATTCACCAACCCAATACTTTCCTAATTATTTGAAAATCTCGGATGAATTTCTTTGGATTATACTTGGATTTTCTTTTCCTGAGAAAGCTGAAATAGTGAATTATGATTTTGGTTCTTTACGGATAACGGGGGTAACGGAACTAGCTTAAACAATAATCGCCCGGGCGACGGAGTGAAGGGGGGGGCAAGTTTTTAACCAACTTGTAGCTCATTTTTAAACCCCTTAAAATTGTCAGATCAGAAAGTTTTAATAAGATTTAGATAGCTTAGAACGTCAGCTTTCAGAAACTATTTGTTTGATCACAAGTTATTAACAAAAATCTATCTAAAATGGGGTTGCAAGTTGGCCAAAAACTTGGCCCGCGTCGATAATCGCTCGGCTCCTCGTTTTCCGTAAAAATCCGACACTTTTCCCAGGTATTTCTAGGCAAGCAACATCGTAACGTTCTATGCTATCTGAATTTGATTAAAATTCCCTGATCTAATAAGTTTAAGGTGTTTAAAAATCAGCTACAAGTTTTTGTTTTTTGACCAATTTGTAGCTCATTTTTAAACGCCTTAAAATTGTCAGATCAGAAAGTTTTAATAAGATTTAGATAGCTTAAAACGTTAGCTTTTAGAAACTATTTGTTTTATCAAAAGTTATTAACAAAAATCTATCTAAAATCGGGTTGCAAGTTGGCCAAAAACTTGGCCCGCGTCGATAATCGTTCGGCTCCCGTTATCCGTAAAGCACCATCCGTAAAGCACCAGTAAAGCATCATAACTTGTATTAACCACTCTTCTATCAGCTTATCTTGTTTAAAGCTTCAAATCTGCCTAGACTTTTGATCAATGCGTTCAACGAGGCGGTCACGATTGCGATGTGAAACAGCTCTGGATTCAGATACCCTATTTTTGTGGTCATCACACATTTTGCAGGTAAAGTACTGCCCTTTTAACTCGTATACAGTTTTTAATTGTGTAAATATTGTAGGACCATGGTTTTAAAGTCTTACAAATGAAGTTAGAGCTTGGATTGTTGAAATCTAGAAGAAGAAAAGTGATCGTTAAGTGAGCTTCGGGGAGATTCCGTTTTCAACACCATTATCGGCATTTGAAGTCAAAGAAAAGGGATAATGACTAATGGCTTGAACATAAAAACTGAACTAAAGGCCAAATAAATAGGCTACTTTTGTAATGTCTAAGAAAATTAGCATTTAAAGCCTGTTGCCTCAAGGGAACAGCTTTAGAAGATCAGCCTCAATAAAAGCCTTTAGGGAAAGGCACGAATACTTCATTTCAACGATAAACATTTAGTAAATTGATCAATAATGAGCAAATTGTGTAAAAGAAATAAACTTGGCTTAATTTGTTATTTTAAAAGAGTTCTTTTTGATAAATAAGCCAAGCCAAACTCAAGCTTTCCCATAGAAAGTGAATTTTGAAAGTGAATTGGGTTTAGCCAATTCAAAAGCTCTATGGTACTTGAAGCCAATGAGAATAATACAAAAATATCCATAGAATAATATCCATAGAATATCCATAGAATAGTAAGGAATACAAATGAAGGCTAGAGCCAAGCAAAGCCAAGCCAGAGCAAGATGAATTCTGAACAGGCAAGGTCAGCGCCAGGCCACGATTCAAATTCTTATCTTGTCAGGCCAAAGTTAGAAGTAGGCTAAGAGCCAGAACATAAAAAGAGGTAGGCTAACAGCCAGAAGCCAGGTCAGGGATTGAAGCCTAACTTGCCCTTACTAGGGAAAGGCACGAGCTCAAGGTGAGCTTTTGTCTGAACATCTAGTGCACTTTATAGAAATCATAGAATAGGAGGAATCTGAATCTGAAATCAATCGCTCAAATGACTTTCCAGGCGGTTAAAACATTAGTCGAAAATTTACCGTCAAAACGGATGCTTTAAAAGGCTCTTTTCTAGCCGAGAAAAGTTACGTTGATGGCCTAATGGATAAGGCATTAGGCTCAGGTTTAGGCTTAGGCTTAGGCTCAGGCTTAGGCTTAGGCATTAAGCTTAGGCATTAGGCTTAGGCTTAGGCTTAGGCATTAGGCTTAGGCATCAGGCTTAGGCATCAGGCTTAGGCATTAAGCTTAGGCATTGGGCTCAGGCTTAGGCATTAGGCTTAAGCATTAGGGATTAGACTTAGGCATTAGGCTAAGGCATTAAGCTTAGGCTTAGGCTTAGGCATTAGGCTATTAAGCACACATGATCAAGGTTCGATCCCCGGTGCAGCTTTTGGTTTTTGCCAAAAGCTCACCTTTAGTTTATGCCTTTCTCTAAGCATAAACTCAAGGTGCAGTAAGCAAAGCACATAACTGTCCTAAAACTGAACATTTTAGTGAAGTGGGCAATCGAGAAGCTCTTGAGACAGCAAAACGCCATCTGATCGAGCACTATCTCTTAGTGGGAACCTCAGATCGAATGCGAGATTTCATAGCTATTCTCGATCTTTCGCTACCGAAGTTTTTCCGAGGAGCTCTCGAGCATTTTGACTCCTTAGATGGTTTGAATTTAAATGATAAACACTACAGGGTGCAGCACTACTGACTGCAGCATTACTGACTCAAATTTTTCTAAAAAACTTTCCACAAGAAATTTTATGTATTATTCACTATTTGAAAGCTTTAATTCTCAGCTATATTAACTGAAAAAGAGTTTTTTGTTTGGAAAAAGTTTCGGATCCTTAAGATGACTCACAGCAAATACCACTCGGCGCGCTACATCTCCGAGTCTTCTTGGTTATCGATTCTCGTTACTGATCGACTGATCACTTCAGGAGCACTCTACTTCACTGAGCATAATCACCCCACACAAGTTTTCAGCTCCTTGCTTAACCGAGATGAGTCTGTGTGGATGTCTAACCGACAAGTACCCATTTTTCTTGGTGTTCTAGATCAAATCCTCTCTGTGAGATCCTTCCTTAATGGCAAATTTGTGCATAATTTATCAAGATAAATCTATTTCAATAATGATTGGTTAACAATTGGTTTTGGTTTTGTTCATCAATTGTTGAAGCCCAAACAAAAACCTTTCTCCGTTTCCCAGTGCCTTGACGCAGAGCGCGAGCCTTTTCTTTGAGCTAGAAATCACCTTCATTCCGTCAAGCTTGCTTTGGTTTAAACTCATAAACTCGTTAAAAGTTTATTCAACTAAAAAAAGCCTCTTTTGAAACTCTTTTCCTAGTAAACCAAGAAAAAACAGTAACGCGCCGAGGGGTATCTGCTTTATTTCTAGAAATCACCTTCAGAGTCGCCTTCAGGATTCGAAAGTTTTTCCAATCAAAAAAACTCTTTTTTAGCTAATATAGCTGGGAATTAGACCTTAAACAAAAGAGTTCTTGTAAAGTTTCTTTGGAAAAATAGGGATGCAAAATTCTGTAAACTTGGATCAGTAATTCTCATTGGGTTGGTGAATTGAAAACTGCCGGACTTTGAACTAAAATTTATTCAACATAAAACGATCAATCCATTCCAAATAATTTCCATTATTATTGACGACTTCTGCCCATTTTACAGGCAATTTTCGGATTCCTCTTTCGTAGTAGGATTTTGGTTTGTGTGTGAGACAAGTGTGAGACTCAAAAATGGAGGACTGGAGATGTTCATATGTCACAGTTTGAGCACTTTCTTCAAAAGAAACCCATTTTGGTGTCAATAGAAAAGTTGTAGAGAATCAAAAATTAGGCTTACAGCCAAATTTCCAAAAAGATACACTTAGTAGTTTCGCTTAAAATGCAAGTTTTGTGAAAATTCGTAAATTTGGCATTTCTTGAAAACCAGTTTTTGACTCGTTCTGAAAATTTGGATATAAGCCTAATTTTTGATTCTCTACAACTTTTCCATTGACACCAAAATGGGTTTCTTTTGAAGAAAGTGCTCAAACTGTCACATATGACAATAGCTCGCAGTTTTCAATTCACCAACCCAATATAACTGGATTTATTTTAAACCAGGATTCAGCTCGTTTCCTTCAATTTTCAAATTCAGAAACCCGTTCTCATCTTCGCTCAACAAAGAAGAAAATCGAGCCATCTGATCAAACGATTTCGATCATCAAAATGAGTGGCGCCTATCAATTAGAAAGAGAATTCTACGATTTTGCCAGAAATCACTTTGACGCCATATTTATGTGCGTTATATTGCGTTTCAAAAGTTTTTTTTTAAACATATTGCAGTTTATGCAAATTTGTTTCTTATGATTAGAATGATTAGCAGTCAAGAAGTTCTATTAGAAGTCTAGAAGTGCAAATAGAAGCTTTCTTTCTTCAGCTCTCTTCAGGAAATCAAGAAAAATTTTCAGGAAAGCCACGAACGGTACGGGAAAGTTGACGAATCTGCTTCGAAAATCACAATTTCATTACGAGAAGATCAAAACCTTTCACTGAATTTGTATGAGACTGAGCTTATCTCTGATTTTCTTGAATTTACTACCAAAAGAAGGTCAACTGGATGTAATGGCCAAATGACAAATGATCATTAGAGGCAGAATTTCAAGCTGATTCCGAATCGGCTTTCCGTTTTTGCTAAACAGCACTCTGTCAAAAGTTATACACGTTTAAAGTTTCGTATGTAATTACAGAAAAAAGGCCATCGAGAATCATTCATCGAATTTACAAACAGGTTTCCCAGAGGCTTTGGCAGGTAGTGATGGGTGATAGCCGGCTAGAGGACAAGGCAAACCCTCTCAGGTTCAACTCTGCTGTCCATTGGCCATTACATCCATTGCAAAAGGTAAACTGCGGTCTCGAACCCCTCTAGCCGTCCTCTAGTCGACTACCACCCATCACTGCCTGCCAAAGCCTCTGGGAAATCTGTTTGAGCTCTGGGAAATCTCTCCTAAATTCGAGGGATGATTCTCGATGACCTTTCTTCTGCAATTCCATACAAGACTTTGAGCGCTTATGACTTTTGACAGAGTGCTGTTTAGCAAAAACCGAAAGCGGATTCGGAATCAGCTTGGAATTCTGCGTCGAATGATCTATGGCTTATGTCATTTGTCCACCACATTCAGTTGACCTTCCCTTGTAAGAATACAGAAATCCCTTAGAGCTTCAAGTCACGACTCAATCATTGCCTCAATCTACTCAAACTCTCCAAAAATCCAATCAAACTGATCAGTAAGCACTGATCTTTTTCCGTTTGCCATATTTTCAATCAATCACTTCATCCTTTTCAACGGGTATTCCTTTATTTACTTCATTTCCTTTATTTCCTTCATTTCCTTTATTTCCTTAATTTACTTCATTTCCTTTATTTCCTTGATTTCAAATGCTAGAAGAATAAATAGTTTTAAACGAGAATATTTTATTGGGTATTTCACCCTGAGTACTCCACTAAGTGCCCCCTTGCCAGAGGCATTTTTCATTTTTCTCGACGCACAGTTTACCAATTTGGATGTTTTTGGTTTTATTCGATGCGTCTAACTCTCCTCTATCCAATGAAACCAAAAACATCCCAATTGGTAAATTGTGCGTCGAGAAAAACGGAAAATGCCTCTGAGAAGGGGGAAACTTAGGGGGCAAATGTTTAATTTAATGTTTTTAATGTTTAATTTAATATTTCTAATGTTAAAAACTGTTAAATAGTGTAGACTTTCTTATGGTTAAACAAGAACAAGAACAAAAACAACTGAAAGATCGCATGGAGAACTAGGATTTGACTCCATTTCAGTGCAATTTGGTGATCGAGTTTCAATGAATCGATTTTTGAAATATCAGATTTTTGCTAAACTGTAAAAATAGGCTCGAGTTTATTCAAACTGTAGTGTTTTTTTTGACGATTTTTGTTTTCATAAAACAATTTCGAGCGAGAGCTAAACGAGCTAAACGACTTGCAAGCTCAAAAGTCTCCATAAATATTGAACAGAGTCGATAAGAATTATAGCTATCACCAAAAAGTAACCTTACAAATGTAAACTTTAAAATAATCAGAAAAATAATCAAAAAAAAAACAATTAAAAATGAAAATCTTAACAAAGAAAAAGCTCGTAAAAGAAAGGTGGAATTAAAAAAAAAATTAAAATTGATAAATGCGATCATATTTACAAAATTAGATAGAAAAATGAAACTAATAGTATTTTCTCTAATAGTAGTGCACCTCACCGAGCCGAGTTGATGACTATTTTACAGTTCTCAAGCTTTCACAGAAGCTCAACACTCAAATCCCCCACTAGATCTCACCGTCAGCTACATTTTAGGTACCACATCGATAGGTTTTGATAGGTTACCCCACATCGATAGGCTCTGATAAGCGGTTCTCGAGATTTCGAGGAATTTAGGCGACGCTCTTGGTGCACTACTATTAGAGAAAATACGGTATTCTGTATTTTCTCTAATTATAGTGCCCTCTCCCCCTCCGCCCGGCCGAGCCGAGTTGACGGCTATTTTACAGTTCCCAAGCCTTCACAGAAGCTCAACACTCAAATCCCCCACTAGATCTCATTGTCAGCTACATTTTCCGACCCCCATTTCCGACATTTTCCGATCATTTTCTGTAGACAAAATTTCAGAGGAATCAGTCAAGAAAAGGTCGAGAAAACGACGGTGGAATTAGGTTCGGATTGGAATTCTTACATGTCTATTGGAAATGTCTATTGGTTGGAATTCTTCCATGTCTTCTGATGACTTAATCAATTTCAACCAATCATAGCTTTTTTTCCTTTTAGAAAAACCCTTTAAGAGAGTAAAAAAAGTGCTTTAACCAAAGTTTTTACACAAAATTAGCATAAACAAAAAAAAACTCAAATGTTTCGTGGAATGTTATCGAAAAAAATGTAGTTAGATAGATTTAAATTACCCTAAAGTCTTGAGTATAAGTTCATCCGAGTATAAGTTCTGCCTTAATTTACATTCGCTTTGGCTTAATTTCGCTTAATTGCTTTGATTTTCTTTTTGTTGGGTTTTTATACATTTTTATTGTTATATAAACTTTTATTATTGTTCTTGAAGCGCGGGATACTACAGGGTGACAGCCTATCACCATTGCTATTTGTTATGTGTGCATGGATACATCCAGACGATAGTGTTGAAGAAGACGCTGGAAGCATCTCTTTCGACCGTCGACGTGGACTTTGGCCGGATGAAGAGGCCAGGGAGGGATCCATAAGACTGAGCACCGGCGAGGAGCAGGGCGGACGCGCCGAGCCACGCCCGGAGCAACAAATAACAGCATAAAATTGCTATAACCCTCAATAAATTTACTTCTATTATTGCTCTTAAAAAGCAAAAAAGTTATGCTGCAGCGGGGTTCGAACCCTCGACACACCGCACCGGAGACAGCCGTCAATTTGCATGCGAAAACCAAACAGAACTTATACTCGCGACTTTAGGGTAAAAGTTTTTTTTCCTTAAAGTGGTTGACTTTCCGTTTCGTTTGAGTTCTCATTTGTATCGAGGAGTTTTTGTCGATCGGATCTCGGGGTGACAAATGGTTGACCGAGACGGGGATATTCGCGGAGACTTCGCGATGTCTGGAGCACACTTTCCGTTCGACATTGACGCACACCGAGGCTGAGCGCCGGGGACGAGTTGACTGAAATGAGGGAAATTTATTGTAGACTGAAGCATAGTATTCCAAGTGTCTACTTCGAAATTCGTCGAGTCGACCATCGACACAACGAAACAAAACGAATCATTCCAATTAACGAACACTATTTTGGGTCTCAACTTTGCGCCTGATCAGAATCGACTCAGGAACTTTTTCTTTTTTAGCCTTTTTTAGGTTTAGACCCTAAAAAGGGGGACAACAAGTTTCTGAGTTGATTCTGATCACCGGATTCTGATCTCGCCTGGCTTATTTCCTATTCAGTTAGAAAATTCAGCTTTGTCTCGTTTCTAGACTTTCTCATCGCTCAAATTAGTACCAGATCTAAAGCACAGAGAGGCTGTAAGAAGCACAGAGTAGCTGCATTCTAATACAATGTCTATAGATTTTCTACCGTTATCTATTTTCCTACACTAACTTGATCTTTGACAATTTCTTTGACCAAAAGCAATTCACTACAATAAACTCGAAAGCTCTGGCCTGATCAGGCCGAAAGCTCTGGCCTGATCTTAGCTGGCCGAAACAAACAAGAGTTCCTTTGCAAGAAGAGACTTTCCTAAGGCCCCCTCTCTCCCACGCTTTCTGTTTTCGGTTTCAAATTGTGAACCCTTTTCTTCCGCTTGTTTTGTTGCTTGCAATACATCGATAGAGTTTCAATTTTCGGAATATACGAGCATCTATTTTATGACTAGTTACACCAGTTTCAATCAATACAGAGATTCAATCAAGCCGGCAGGCTGATAAGCAGACTGAAAAGCAGGCTGATAAGCAGACTGAAAAACAGGCTGATAAGCAAGCTGATAAGCAGACTGAAAAGCAGGCTGAAAAGGGAGCTGAAAAGGAAGCTGAAAAGGAAGCTAAAAAGCAGGTTGAAAAGCAGGCGATAAGCGGCATACAGGCTAAAGGAGGCTGAAGGGCGGCGAAGCAAGCTGAAAAGCAGGCTGAAAAGCAGGCTTTCTGAGGTGATCTCTTATACAGGAATGTCTCAACCTTTCAGTCATTAATCTTAGAATTAAAAGAGTCAGGCAATTAATCTTAGAATTGATTTTTAAAGCTCACGGCTTTCTTTCTCTCTCTTTCGGCTCTCTCTTTTCTAGAGCTTTTCACAGAAACTCCAATTCTCCAACTCCAATTGAGCAATTAAGCAATTGAGCAATCTAAAATTAAAATCACCTTTCTTTGCGCTTCCACCAAAGCACAAAGTGCTGCTTGTTTCGTTTCGGAAAGCAAAAAGTTAAACGCTTTCGTCAATCCCAATTCAATTTCATTTTTCGTGTATTCTCTTGAGTTGAAATTTCTGAAGCAAAAGTCGTTTTTGGTGATTTCTTTCGAAGATTATTACTTCATGATGAACATGAAAAGAGTCGAGATCGAGATCGTTCGCATTTGTTTCCATTGTTGTGGAGTGAAGTTGGCTTTTGACTCGAATTGTGCGACACCGAGTTTTCGGCAAATTTCCCGAATTTCTGAGTACGGTAAGGTTGGGTCAGAGAACCTGAAAATTGAGTTTTTCGGTAAAGTAAAAGGAAAGTAAGTCGGTAAAAGTGATCTTCAAATCCTGAAATTTTGAAAGTAAAGATTTACTGTTAAGATTATCTAAAAAACCTACTTAATACCCCTACTTAATACACCGCGAATAATTTCGTTCGCAGGTGTTCTTAGAGGAATTGGCGGTATCGAGCCGTACGAAAGTGCGCAATACAAGGGAACGAAAGCTTCCCGGAAACGAAAGACTTCCGGTTCCGGGGTTAGTATGGTTGCAAAGCTGAAACTTAAAGGAATTGACGGAATCGCACCACCAGGAGTGAAGCCTGCGGCTTAATTTGACTCAACACGGGAAAACTCACCCGGCCCGGACACTGTAAGGATTGACAGACTGAGAGCTCTTTCTTGATTCGGTGGTTGGTGGTGCATGGCCATTCTTAGTTGGTGGAGCGATTTGTCTGGTTTATTCCGATAACGAGCGAGACGCACCCCTACTTAATACACCGCGAATAATTTCGTTCGCATGTGTTCTTAGAGGAATTGGCGGTATCGAGCCGCACGAAAGTGCGCAATAACAGGTCTGTGATGCCCTTAGATGTTCGGGGCTGCACGCGTGCTACACTGGAGTCTGCAACGTGTTCCATGGCCGATGGGTCACTGGCAAACCGTTGAAAAGATTCCGTGATCGGGATAGGGAATTGCAATTATTTCCCTTGAACGAGGAATTCCTAGAACTTCTGAACTTGAAGTTCCTGAACTTCAAGCAAAAGGCTTTTCTTTGAAATCAGTCGATTCTGTTCATCATCTGTTCATCGCAGAGTTTTTAATTTCTGATTTTGATTTCTCTAGACTTTCTCTAGACTTTCTCTAGACTTTCTCTAGACCTTTAACACAATACTTTCAGAACATCACAACTAATCAAATCACAAACCATTCCAGAGAAATTTGTATGAAATCGCCGACCATCTCTCCGCACTCTCTCACCGTTGGATTTGTGGCCAAAAGGGCATAGTTATGAGGAGTATAGTTGGGTAGAATCTTTTGCTTGACAATTGGCATCTCCCAACAGATCTGAATCTTTTTTTTGGAAATAAATTAATTGATATCTGACCTTTGCCAAAATCTCTCTTCCAATTTGGTGTTGTTTCCCGTCAATGAATGTGAGCACAAACTTGGCGAAGCTCTCTGTGATCGCGTTGCTTTTTTGGATTGACGTCATTGAGGTGCTCGCGGCAAGGCTGTGCTTTTTCTGAATTGATAGAGTTAAACACTACTTGATTCTTTTAAGAATTAAGTAGAAGTCGAAGTACAGAAGGCAAATGCAGAAGTCAAAGTACAGAAGTCAAAGTCCGGGAGTCAAAGTACAGGAGTAAGAAGGACAGGAGTAAGAAGGACAGGAGTAAGAAGGACAGGAGTAAGATGGACAGGAGTAAGATGGACAGGAGAAAGATGGACAGGAGTAAGATGGACAGGAGTAAGATGGACAGGAGTAAGATGGACAGGAGTAAGATGGAGAGAAGTAAGATGGACAGGAGTAAGATGGAGAGAAGTAAGATGGACAGGAGTAAGATGGAGAGAAGTAAGATGGACAGGAGTAAGATGGATAGGAGTAAGATGGAGAGAAGTAAGATGGACAGAAGTAAGATGGACAGGAGTAAGATGGACAGGAGTAAGATGGACAGAAGTAAGAAGGACAGGAGTAAGAAGGACAGGAGTAAGATGGACAGGAGTAAGATGGAGAGAAGTAAGATGGACAGAAGTAAGAAGGACAGGAGTAAGATGGACAGAAGTAAGATGGACAGAAGTAAGAAGGACAGGAGTAAGATGGACAGGAGTAAGATGGACAGGAGTAAGATGGACAGGAGTAAGAAGGACAGGAGTAAGATGGAGAGAAGTAAGAAGTACAGAAGTCAAACTGCAGAAGTAAAACTACAGAAGTCAAACTACAGAAGAACTAAAGAAATCTCTATCCCCCTTTAGTTCTTCTGTACTTGTACTTTAGTTGTAGTATTCAAAAGTCACTCAAAAATCTACAGAAAGCTAGATTTTCTTTTTCTTACACCCGGATAAAGCTTTAGGAAAACTAGTTTAAAATCAGATAAGATTAGAATGCTTATTGCAATTTGTTTGACTTCATTTTCATATAATTTTTGTTTCCAGTGTTTCCCACTTACCATAAATGTCGAGAAATTGTAGAAGAGCAACCAATTGGTGGCTGCATGAAATGATAGCAAGAGATTGCTCGCATCCGTCAAATAATAGCTGTACCAGTATCGATTGACCAATTGCTGATCTCTTTCGCTTCCCGGCTCGGTTCTGCGATTGAACATAGCAGTTAACAGAGCCAGTTAACAGAGCCAGTTAACAGAGCCAGTTAACAGAGCCAGTTAACAGAGCCAGTTAACAGAGGCCTTTAAACAATTACCGTTTGATATAATTGCCCATTCCATACCATTCGATCATTCCAAAAACGATCAAAAAGAGGAAATTGCAGAGGATGAACTTGGCGGCTAGGAGCTGGAAAAAAGAATGGTACAGTCTATTCTCATGAGTACAAAAATGGTACAGTGTATTTTTAAATCAAAATCCCATAAATACTCTAATAGAACGTCACCGCTCGTACAGTCGCGTAGTTTAACTTTTAGAATGTTCTATTAGGGGATTTACGGTTGACACCCATTAATCCATAACGATCACTATTATTTTACATAGTTCAAGTACAAATAGTGGCCCTTCTTTTATCCTAAAGCCTGTGCGCTTGTCTTTTCTGAATATTATTGAGTTTTTTAACTGTTTGATACAAGCAGCTACTACAAGAAAGCGATTTGATTGACAATTTGATTGGCAATTTGATATCAAAACGATAATCTGATCAAGTGCCATTGTACTAGACTGACTTCTAGTAAATCTTTGAAAGATGCAGGGGGCGGCACCCCAACTGGATGATTACTCGAACTCATTACCAACGATCATCGGGTATCATCGCGTGAATTGGGAGAAGAGTTAGGGGTTGATCATGCTATAGTGCTAAGGCACCTTCATACCCTTGGATTTAAATCGAAACTTGGGACTTGGGTACTCCATGACCTCACTGACCCCCAGAAGTGGCAGCGCGCCTCCATCAGTGCCGCTCATCTCTCACGATACCAAACGAAATCCTTTCTTCCTCGAATTGTGACAGGAGATGAGAAATGGGTTTTGTCTGTGACCTTTCTGAGGAAGCCGGCAATGGGTGGGGCCAGGCGAGAAACCCGAAAGTGACCCCAAGCCCGATTTGCACCAGAAGAAGTTTATGCTCTCTGTCGAGTATGGTTTGCCAAGTTTTGATCTGGGGCCAATCTTTGAAAGATGCGCTGTGGAGCGGCACCCCAACTGGATGATTCCAAATTACTCGAACTCATTACCAACGACCATCGGGTATCATCGCGTGAATTGGGAGAAGAGTTAGGGGTTGCTACAGTACTAAGGCACAGTACTCATGCTACAGTACTAAGGCACCCTCATACCCCTGGATTTAAATCGAAACTTGGGACTTGGGTGCCCCATAAGCTGACCAGATTTATACTAACCCATTTGGTACTAGATTCATGCGGATACTAGTGCCAGATCTAATAGGTACTGGTGCCGGACTTGTTTAAAGGCTTAAACACAGGGTGCCCAGAAATAACACGAAAAAACTCGACAAATTTCCCTTGTGTAAATTCTGATCAAACAAAGTTTTAGAAAACCGGTTTTAGAAAAATTTCTTATGGCAAAAATGATCTTACAAACTCTGGGGAGTCGATTCCAAATTCCAAATCCAAATTCTGGCAGTTCTTATTGGAAAAGAGTTATAAACAAACTTATTGGGGGTGACTGGAATTTCTAAAACAAAAGAACCTTGAACTAACCGTGGGATTAACTTTGAATAACTCTCGAAAAAGAGGGATAGATTGCCTGCCCTTTATGGTTCCTATTTAGTTCCTATTTGTTTACTGTATAGTTTCTATTTAGTTCCCATTTGGCTCCTATGTAGTTGTAGTTCCTTTAAAGTTCCTATTTGGTTCCTATATGGTTCTTTTATAGTTCCTATTTAGTTCCTTTATAGTTCCTATTTGGTTACTTTATAGTTCCTTTATAGTTCCTATTTGGTTACTTTATAGTTCCTTTATAGTTCCTATTTGGTTACTGTTCAGTTCCTATTTAATTCCTATTTAGTTCCTTTATAGTTCCTATTTGGTTCCTTTATAGTTCCTATTTGGTTACTGTATAGTTCCTATTTAGTTTCCATTTGGCTCCTATGTAGTTCCTTTATAGTTCCTATTTAGTTCCTATTTGGTTCTTTTATAGTTCCTATTTAGTTCCTATTTAGTTCAAGTTTGAAACATTCTATTAAATCCGTGCATCCTATTCCGGGTAATTCTTGGGACACCTTTGAATTCATTATTCCACTTAAACATTCCTCCACTTAAACCCTCACATAAAGCCGGGTCTCAATTCGTCGATTTGTCGGCAATATCACAACAGTGGTGCCGATTTGCTTCCGTTTATGACATTTGGCGAGCGTTTTATAGGTGTACCAAAGGATTGCGAGCGGTGGTAAAGGGGCTCGTAGAAGCAGATCGGGGATCAGATGAAAAACTAAACAAAGCAGTATTATTTCACAAGCTCTACCTAACCCACCGATATTTATCCAAGGTTCTTGATTCATCAGTAAAATTGTTGACAGATAAAGGCTCGTCTCAGTGCCACTAAAATGCTTGTGTGTGAGAGAAAAGATCTCGGGGCATTTCCCTCACTTTTCTCGTTCTTTTGACTCGATCATGTAGCATGGATGAAGCATTTTTTCAAATGGAATTGAAATCCCATTTAGAAGTGCAGCTCCGAAGGCTAAATTTTCATTTAAACACAATATGGAAAATGAAAACAGACAAATTCCACCGACAATCAACCAAATCCGAAAACGATCTTGCGTTCTGCGGTGTCCTAATGGATCAATGACGGCTCGGTATCTAGAAATTGAGTTTTGAAGCGCCTCTCCAACTCCTTTGAAGCTTTGAAGCTCCTCTCTTGGCTCTTTGAAGCTTTGAAGCTCCTCTCCAACTTCTTTGAAGCTTTGAAGCTCCTCTCCAACTCCTTTGAAGCTCTGAAGCTCCTCTCCAACTCCTTTGAAGCTTTGAAGCTCCTCTCTTGGCTCTTTGAAGCTTTGAAGCTCCTCTCTTGGCTCTTTGAAGCTTTGAAGCTCCTCTCCAACTCCTTTGAAGCTCTGAAGCTCCTCTCCAACTCCTTTGAAGCTTTGAAGCTCCTCTCTTGGCTCCTTTGAAGCTTTGAAGCTCCTCTCCAACTCCTTTGAAGCTCTGAAGCTCCTCTCCAACTCCTATGAAGCTTTGAAGCTCCTCTCTTGTCTCTTTATGTTAATTAGACAAAGTTTTGATAGAAAGATTAGCCGATAGAAAGATTAACAGATAGAAAGATATGCCAGAAAGCCTGTGTTTCTATTTTCTATTTTGCGAGTAACACAAAGGAAAGTTACCTTTCATATGAGATCGCTAGAACATGCCAAATGTTGGCCGAGATACAGAAACAGGCTAATGGCTGCAGAATGTAGAGAACATAGGCCATCCAACCTAAACAATTTTACGTAAGTGCTGTGGCGAATAGCCACTAAAAAGTTACCTAACTCTGACAGCCTAAAAATTGGAAAAGTATTGCGGAAATCCGTGCGCCTTCATTTTCTATTTCGCGCCCCAAATCATTTATTGTTTTGTAGCTTGTTAGCTGAATATCTTGTGTTAAAGCCTATAGGCAAGGGAAGTGTTGGCTTTAAGGGAAGTGTTGGCTTTAAGGGAAGTATTGGCTTTAAGGGAAGTGTTGGCTTTAAGGGAACTGGCATCCGTTTCTTTCCTTTTTGCGTTCCTATTTTGCAATTATTCGCGTCGCATTTTTTCGTCTTTTTTCTCTCTTCCCGAAATTATTTTTTATTGGAGGAGGGGAGTTTTTTTTGGGAGAGCAGCTGGCCCTTTTTGGGGTTGGTGTTTCTGCCTTCGTTCTTCGGGGACTTTGATGCTTCTGCCTTCGTTCCTAGGGGACTTTGATGTTTCTGCTTTCGTTCTTGGAGGACTTTGATGCTTCTGCCTTCGTTCCTAGGGGACTTTGATGTTTCTGCTTTCGTTCTTGGAGGACTTTGATGCTTCTATTCATGCTTCTATTCATGTTTTTATAATGGGTATCGTTGCATTTTTGGTTCTGTACTAATAAACAGTAAAATTATAAATTCAATTTACTCTATGCTACCCTTCAGATTTTAAATCCTTTTTAGATAGCTGGTTTAACACTGTAGAAAGAATTTACAAACATTTGTGTCGCCATCGACGAACTGTCAATCCGTTCTGTACTCTTATCACGAGTATTAACCTTATGTTGGATGCTGCGTGTTCTTGTTATGTTGTAAGCGTTTTTGGGGAAACCCTTTTAACCTTTTTGTGCTACTCGACTATTCTGAAGCAAAGTCATCCTCGATGATAAGGTTAAAGCGAGTCGCACCCCAAACTAGGTCTTCCTCCCCAAAAAAGGCAGCTATAAAAGGCGGCTATTTGGATTTGGGTAGAGTAAGGAATCCTTGCAATTTGATTTCATTTCTTCGATTTCTTTTTTTTCAATTTGATTTTCTAAAAGTAAATACAAGAGGTTTTATCGTTTCTTATGAAAATTTGAGATTGCTAAACACTTACCGTAAAACATGAGGCTTCCATTAACGAGCACTGGCACCGAGTAGGTGGCAAGGCAACAAAAGAGAAACGTGATATCCCAGATGCAGATCATCATCAAATGAATGGAGAGCCGTTTCGAGAATACACGGTTGCTGTAGATCTGAAAGAGTTTAGAGATCATCGGCAAAAACATCCAAATGTATTTTCACACAAATAATACCATAAAAAAGATTACAAAAGCAGTCCTAGATGCTTAAATGGAGGGAAAAAAAAGAATCAATAAGCTAGCTAGCGGGATTGAACCCTTGGCCTGCCGACTACCCCCCGACTCAGATCCAGAGCCAGTCGGCCATGTCGGCCATGTCGGCCATGTCGACCAGTCGGCCATGTCGTCGATGATCGGCATGGATAAAAGATGCTTTAAAGTTTAACAAGATTTAACAAGGGGTAGTAACCGTCGTAGCCTATCGGATAGGAGTCTTGTCTCCTAGTCGGAAGGTCAAAGGTTCGATCCCGGTGGCCAGAACTAGATGATTCTTTTTCCCATCATTATGGGTTTTTTCTTAACGACATTTGGGTAATAGGGTTAACTAAGGCTAAAAATTTCCTCCGTTTTCTTGTAATCGTATTGTAATTCATTATTCGTATCGAAAAAATCGACTTTTAAGATCAAGCTCAATTTTATAGGATACCGTATTTCCTCTAATAGTAGTGCACCTCACCGAGCCGAGTTGACGGCTGTTTTACAGTTCCCCAGCTTTCACAGAAGCTCAACACTCTAATCCCCGAAAAGATCTCATCGTCAGCTACATTTTCCGACCCCACATCGATAGGTTCCGGTAAGCGGTTCTCGAGATTTCGAGGAATTTAGGTAAAGCTTCCCGTGCACTACTAGGGAAAATTCGGTATTATTGTTGCCCCGCTTTGATCTAACTCTGCCGATCGACTGATCGATCCAGTTAAAATAACATAGCCGTCTGCTACTTGTAGTACTTGTCCATCTTTTGCCACTTACTGTGCACTTGCATGGGAATACGGGTATCTAGCTTTAAGATCACTTGATTTGCTGGTGGTGCGAGGAAGGCGCCGACAGCAAAAGCCATGAGAGCTGAGCAACAACGAGGTGAGCAACATTAAGGGACCCACATCGATTTTACGGTTTCCAAGCTTTCGCAGAAGCTCAACACTCTAATCCCCGAAAAGATCTCATCGTCAGCTACATTTTCCGACCCCACATCAATAGGTTTTGATCAGCGGCTTTCGAGATTTCGAGGAATTTAGGCGACGCTCTTGGTGCACTAGTATTAGATAAAATAAGATAACTTCGAAATCTCTTGTCACTTACCTGCAACAATAAAAGAGAATTCCCAAAGAATCCAAGTGCACTCAATAGCAATGTGACCCAGCCATTGAACACGTAACTAAAGAAGTTGTATCCACCAAAAAGCTCGCTTAAAATTGGTTAGTTAAAGTTAGTGAAAGGCAATGAAATACCTGAAGTGCCAATAGGAAAGCAGAAATTCTTGCATAAGTCGATAGTCTTCTTGTGAGTGATTGTGAGCGGAGAAAGAGCTCGCATCGAAGCACCAAGGAGTTTTATTCACACTTTGACCCGTCATCTTCTCCAGCAATTCTTCTAATTCACTCGCAGACATTCTGCAATCACTGGAAGCTCTAAAGAAAGCTCTTTTAAAGAAAAAAGTTTAAGTTTTAAAGAGAAAAAAGCAAGATTGGGTAGATTAAAAGCGTTTAAAAGCGTTTAAAAGCGTTTAAAAAGCGTTTAAAAGAAAAGTTTGATTTAACTGATTGTTAATAAAGCATAAATTCCGAGATTTGAATAGTAAATTCTTGAAAATAAGTCAAGTTTTGAATCAAAAGCAAATTCTTGACAAATCCTTGACAAATTCTTGACAAATTCTTGACAAATCCTTGATATTTTTCAATAAAACTCAAATTCAAAAAGTAACAAGGCAAAGTAAAGGTTTAAACTACGGAAAAGAGTTGAAAGTGCAGAGATTTTTAAGAATTCTCTTGCTGATCTCAGGCACGAGAATCGGTGTAATTATTGGCAAGTAATTATTGGGTGAGTGAAAAATTTTGCCCGCTCCTAAAAGGGGATTCAAAATGTTTACTAAATCAAATTCAAATTCAAAACGATTCAAATCTTTACTTTGTCTAATTTCTATTTATAAACGACCACAATCAGGATTGAACTTAAACAGAATACCGTATTTTCTCTAATAGTAGTGCACTAAGCTTTGCCTAAATTCCTCGAAATCTCGAGAAGCGCTTATTAGAACCCATCGATGTGGGGTCGGAAAATGTAGCTGACGGTGAGATCTAGTGGGGGATTTGAGTGTTGAGCTTCTGTGAAGGCTTGGGAACTGTAAAATAGCCGTCAACTCGGCTCGGCCGGGCGGAGGGGGAGAGGGCACTATAATTAGAGAAAATACAGAATACCGTATTTTCTCTAATAGTAGTGCACCAAGAGCGTCGCCTAAATTAAATTGCTCGAAATCTCGAGAACCGCTTATCGAAACCTATCGATGTGGGGTCGGAAAATGTAGCTGACGATGAGATCTAGTGAGGGGATTTGAGTGTTGAGCTTCTGCGAGGGCTTGGAAACCGTAAAATAGTCACCAACTCGGCTCGCCGGGGTGCACTACTATTAGAGAAAATGCAGTATACTGTAATTCTTTTAAACTATTGCAATTAGAATAGAATAGAACAATAGGCCCTCCAAGTCAAAGATCGTTCTCAACTGGGACATATTCTCAACTGGGACATACCCTCCAGTCCTCCATTTTTGAGTCTCACATTTGTCTCACACACTTGTACTCGGAGTTGCTGGATAGCAAGACGACCGTTAATGCAATCAAATACAGTGGACAGTAGGGAAAGGTGAATGAATCCCTGAAGAAGAATAGTCTTTCCAAGTCAAAGATCGTTCTCTTCCACGACAACGCGCGCCCTCATGTTGCAAAACTGACTCGCTCTAAAGTAAATAGCCTTGCTTGGAAACTTTTGGCGCATTCCGCATACAGTCCGGACCTTGCCCCTTTTGATTACTATTTATTCCGGATCATGAGTAATGAGCTTGCGGGAGAACACTTCAATTTGGAAGAAGCAGTCAAAAATTGGCTTTGAAAGTTTTTCGATTCAAAACCAAAATCCTACCACGAAAGAGGAATCCGCAAATTGGAAATATGGCTATAAGCCTAATTTTTGATTCTCTACAACTTTTCCATTGACACCAAAATGGGTTTCTTTTGAAGAAAGTGCTCAAACTGGGATCTCCAGTCTCCATCTCCAGTCCTCCTCCAGTCCTCTCACATTTGTCTCACACACAAACCAAAATCCTACTACGAAAGAGGAATCCACAAATTGCCTGTAAAATGGACAGAAGTCGTCAATAATAATGGAAATTATTTGGAATGGATTCATGGTTTTATGTTGAATAAATTTTAGTTCAAAGTCCCGCACAGCTTTCAATTCACCAACCCAATAATTAAACAAAAAAGCGAACAGGGTAAATAGCTGAAAATTGCAACTTTAGCTATTGCAATGACCAGCTGAGAGTTAGAGTTGATTTATTGAATTCATGGAACTTCATAGAAATATGATAGAACATTTTTGGTTTAGTTGCTCATCAGAGCTCATCAGATCATCAGATCACTAGCAGAACTAGAAAAATAGCTTCTTTTTACATGATTCAGTAAGAGTTAGAAGATCATTAATCATTTTGATAATCGAATTCGAGATAAAATCTAGTAAAAAGCAGCTTGAACGTTCAAAATTGAAACATTTGAGAGTTGTTGGGATGGCCGTTTACACAAACACATTCGAAAAAATGGTCTCAAAAACAAGCGGAGCGTTATTTTGTTGGATTGGGGAAGGGAAAAGGCCTTTTTCATCCCACGCACGTTCAATCGTTCAAAAAAAACTTCTTAACTTCTGCTTTTAAACGCTAGCAATCGAACAGGAAGTTTAAAAAAAGGGGACTGGGAATTCAAAAATGAATAAAGCTGCAAACGAGCGGCCTGGACACTAGGAAGCATTAAACATTAAAGAAGTCACAAAGATACTCAAGAATCACCAGAGGACTCGGGCACACCTCTTCGACAGCACCGTCCTCCCGGCACTCTGCTACAGGACAGAGACCTGGGCCACGGCACAGACCTGGGCCACGGCACAGACCTGGGCCACGGCACAGACCTGGGCCACGGCACAGACCTGGGCCACGGCACAGACCTGGGCCACGGCACAGACCTGGGCCACGGCACAGACCTGGGCCACGGCACAGACCTGGGCCACGGCACAGACCTGGGCCACGGCACAGACCACCGAAGGAGCCCTGAGAACGACGCATCAAGCCCTTGAAAGGAACCTCCTCGGGCACAATAGGAAGACGCAGCTCGAGACCTAAGAAGTACGGGTATGCGCCAGCTTTCGGGACTCAGAGATCCAGTGGAAGTGATCGAGAGAAAAAGACCCAGATGGGCCGGCCACGTAGCCAGAAGAACAGACGACAGTTTTTCATTTCTCATACTTTCAAAATTATCGTACTCTGCTCGGTGAGTAAACTCATTAAAAACTTTGTTTATCGAAAACTTTTCATCCAAATTTCACGTTTTTTTGACAATTTTTCTTTGAATTCTTGATAGATTGAAAGAAAAGATTGAATTTGTTTTGCAAGAAATATCAAAATTTTTTACAAAAAAATGATTTTTTGAGAGAATTTCCGAAATCTAGAAATCGAAATCGAAATAAGTAGTTATTTCAACTTCAACTGTAGTTCAACTGTAGCTCAACTGTAGTCCAACTGTAGTCAAACTGTAGTTCAACTGTAGTTCAAACTGTAGTAGTTATTTCAACTTTCAACAAAGCTTGAAAATCAATGGGTTTTTCGATGCGATCATGAACTTCATTATTTCATTGGTTTGTTTTTTTTTGTTGTTGTCTTTCACCAAGAACATATGAATGAAGAGAAATTGAAAGTTGAAATAACTACTACAGTTTGACTACAGTTTGACTACAGTTGAACTACAGTTGAGGCAATAAATTAATAAATAAAGAGGCAATAAATTAGAGGAAAGGCTTTCCTTCTCAATAAGATGAGGTTTTGGGGGGTTGAGGGAATACGCGGAAGATTCTCCAATTCACCAAAACCTTAAGAAGCTTTTCGTTTAGTTTATGCGGCTGTTGAGATGCGGCTTTGTTGAGAATAATTATTGAAGATTGAAGGCTCAAAAATTTGACTTTAACGATACTGTTTTGCTTTTTAGCTAATTTTGCTAGCTTTTTAGCTAGTTTCCTTCAAATTTTGTTCAAAAAATCCGTTAAATTTTGTTCTGACGATTTCAATTCTTCATTTCAATGCAAATTGCGAACTTACGATGATCATGGAGTAAGAGAAAAGCTTTATAAAGATATGCTCTACTGTTTTTCTCTAAAAGATATACCTTTAAAGCCTCAACCTACCCTTAAAGCCTCAACCTACCCCTAAAGCCTCAACCTACCCCTAAAGCCTCAACCTACCCCTAAAGCCTCAACCTACCTTTAAAGCCCAACCACCCTTAAAGCCCAACCTACCCCTAAAGCCCAACCTACCTTTAAAGCCCCAACCTACCTTTAAAGCCCAACCTACCCTAAAGCCTCAACCTACCCTTAAAGCCTCAACCTACCTTTAAAGCCTCAACCTACCTTTAAAGCCTCAACCTACCCTTAAAGCCTCAACCTACCTTTAAGCCTCAACCTACCTTTAAAGCCTCAACCTACCTTTAAAGCCTCAACCTACCCCTAAAGCCTCAACCTCCCTTAAAGCCTCAACCTACCCTTAAGCCTCAACCTCCCTTAAAGCCTCAACCCACCCCTAAAGCCCAACCTACCCCAAAGCCCAACCTACCCCTAAAGCCTCAACCTACCCTTAAAGCCTCAACCTACCCCTAAAGCCTCAACCTACCCTTAAAGCCTCAACCTACCCTTAAAGCCTCAACCTACCCCTAAAGCCTCAACCTACCTTTAAAGCCTCAACCTACCTTTAAAGCCTCAACCTACCCTTAAAGCCCCAACCTCCCCTTAAAGCCCCACCCCCCTAAAGCCCAACCTACCCCTAAAGCCTCAACCTACCCCTAAAGCCTCACCCACCCTTAAAGCCTCAACCTACCCCAAGCCTCACCACCTTAAAGCCTCAACCTACCTTTAAAGCCTCAACCTACCCTTAAAGCCTCAACCTACCTTTAAAGCCTCAACCTACCCTTAAAGCCTCAACCTACCCTTAAAGCCTCAACCTACCCCTAAAGCCTCAACCTACCCCTAAAGCCTCAACCTACCCTTAAAGCCTCAACCTACCCTTAAAGCAATTCGCAAAAATTCTTAGGTTTGGTAACTCAGAGGTAAACTTCGAGGTAAATTAGAGCCAAGATTATATTTCAATGCAAGAAAATATTAAATTTAGTAAATCCCGGGAAAAAGGCAAATTATTTTGCGCAAAAACCTGTGAAATTGCTCTCATGAACGCAAATCCAGGAGAAGGATCTAAATTTGTTTGCTAGACTAGTGAAATGGAGAAAAACCAAGTGAAAGACTAATTGTCCGGTGTGAGAACACAAATTTTACATAGAAAAACGGTAAGATTCTAGTAAATAGGCTAAAT